TTATCGGATGTAATCTCACGTCATTTTTCAAGACAACAATGTGCAGACAATGAATAAGTTCAACCTTGTTTAATGTATGACCGGATAGGAACGAGCAACTACTTTTCATTTTCTGTTATCGCTTATTAGCAAGGGTAAACTTCGTTGTTTTTATCCAAATAAAATAAGAGTGGTAGAAATCTGACACACAGGGAGCCTAGTCCGTTTTTGTTAAATGTGACTATCTATTAGCAAGTTTCTGACAGGCCAGTTGATAGCATCGTAGTGTCAAAAACTTTAAAATAAACCTCAATGCAAAATTTAGGAAAAACATTCGGTTCGATTCCTAGTATCCTCTAAAAATACTTCACGTTCTAGTGATATTACAATCTAAGCAATTGGCGTAGCCACAAACCAGTGTTAGTTTTAGTGAAAATTACCGGCTTACGACAAAATTAGAAAAAAGGGCCAAGCAGATTTCATGCCCCCAGTCAGTTCCACTAATTGAACATTTCTTTAAACGTCGGTGTTGTTATCAGCTGCAGCTAGGAGAGAGAGTCGTATTTGGGTAAAATTGTTTTCCTTTTTTGAATAGAAAACAGAAACAGACAAAAGACGTTTGTTTCTAATGATATACCTTCCTGTCGTGGTCAAAGTAAGGGATAAATTTTCAAACGAATCTGTACGTACACTATATCACAATTCAGCGAATGTCACAACAGACACCTCGAATTGCACAGGCGTACATTGAGGACCAGACCACCGAGGATAAAATTAGATTCAATCTGAAGTGCCTTCTTGAAAACAGATGCCCATTCCGTATGACATGGTTGCGTGCAAGTCCACAGAGTGGAAAGTGATTTTGAGGTAAAAGAATGTGATGAGGTCTCTATTCGTGTGCGTGTGTATGTGCGTGTGTGCGAACTGATTTATGCTTTTCTATTCGTGCAGTTGTCTGGTAAATAATATCCTATAGAGACTGGTTCACACGCGTCCTGGTAGTGAAATGTCAACTTGTCACTTTTGATGTCCCAATGATGATGAATGGCGGTACTGCTATCATTGTACCTGGACGTTTTGGTCTTTCCTCAAACCTGCGCAATCGATGCATTTGCCCAGCGGGTGGCTCTTGTTTGGACAATTGCACATTTCTTTCGCTGACCGCGTCCGGTTTCATAAAAGTGCTTCCAATGTTTTAAATGCCGACAGACAGATTTACATTGTGGTCAGTTTGTGAATGATCTGGTTCGGTTAACCCCCACAACCTTGGACAACAAGGATTTTCGTATGCAGATTACTTTGCAGGAAGCATAAAGTGATTGAAAGGAAATATATTTACACGGTCTGTAATTAGATTATGTTTGCGGGATTTTTATCGACAGTCAGCTAACTATTCTACTACAGAAATATGCACGATATATACCACCATCACCTCACCGCTGGTATACCGATATTCCGGTAAAACGCATTTGTTCACATCCGGATCGAGCAGTGTGCGATACGGATCGTGGCTGGACATTCCGGATTGATCCAGCACAAAGTCCTCTTCAATCGTAGTTGAGTCTGGCGGCAATGGTACCGGAGGGGTTTGTAGACTGGGCAGAATGGGTTCTGTACACTGGGGACCGGTGTGCGTTGATGGACACCTAGGGTACGGAAATACCGATAGAAAAAATAGAAGTAAATTTAAAACTGTCAAACAGGAGCACTTAACGGTACTCCGGATAGCACTGTCAATTCTCGTCATCAAGTATAGAGAATGACATTCAATCAAAATAACCAACTTTCCGCATTCGTCAGCTCAATCTCCAAACGAAGATACATGTCAATTAGGAAAATATTTGTATTCATACATTTCATGGAACAGATGCCTATTATTAATGGAACCACGTGATTTCCTTGTGAACCATGCATATTGCCGAGCTGTTTTGTGAATAATTTCACATGAACTGCGAATGACTTGTTCTGAACTTTTATTGGGGCACATGGTTTCGATTTAGTTTGCTTTCGAGGTGTTTCTCCAATCAAAATGTGCCACCCCTATTGGATGACGAGATAAATAGAAGCATGGTACTGCATCAATGATCTAAATAAAGAAATGTTATCCAAGTTGTGTGGCAAGCATTGAGAACGAACCAATTATGGTGTTTTTATTTGAGTAATGAAAAATGATGTTGACAAGGAACGCAGTCGGTCATTCGCCGTACAGTCAGTCAAAGCAGTAAATGAGACTTTTACCACAAATCAATAGTCGTTTATAAACGAGAACTATAAGCCTCTCTTTTGGGTATATAGGTTCTGATGAGGGCAGGATACTTAACTAGTTCCTGTATGAAAAAGACCAGAACCATTGAAATTAAATTGAACACTTAGTTTCATCGACTTACAATTTTTGAATTCTGAATTCCGGTTCTGCCTTCTAACCCAGTGAATGCTCCCCAGGTGAAATCCATTCCCCATGACGTGCACTTGTACCGCCATATGGAGGGAGATTTTTCAATTAGATCTCAGAAATATAAAATGCACATACAAACTGCAGGCTCCATAAGGAGACATTAGGCTAAACTGGGTTTACAAAAACCTCATATAGAACGAACAAAGCGCTTTAAACTGTACTTCAAGCGGAACGATTCTTCTCCGTATATTCTGGGGTCAAAAGGTCTATAAATAGTTAAAGTACGTAATTATTGATTTAATTTGTTGGAAACAATAGTACGGAGTACAATTTATTGAGGTTGCCAAAATGTCTTGCGAGGAACGGAATAAAGATTTGGAATGGTGCTTTTGTCAAAAGTAACACGATTCAATTTCGGTTATCAGTGAGTTTTTCCCATATAATCTTGGTTTCCATTTTTCTGTCTTTCTTTTTCATGAATTTCAATTGAAACTCAACTCAATTTTGGGATTGGATGCCGTTTGAGATTTGCGATAGTTAGAACATCAAAATACATGACATAAAGGTTACAATTCAACCCCTACTAGAATAAAAACAATCCAAAATGGAAAAATACTCGTGAGTGACCGGTGCTGTTCGACGTGATGTGACTAACCTCGGGGCATTTTCAGATGAAACTTGGAGAAAATGAGTAATTTTATCCACATTGTTGTTCCGCTTCAAAGGAGCAGTGCTACACCACCAACAAAACTATGCCCAGATTCATTGAAAACAACATTTTTATTGAAGTATACTTTATAATTTACCAAAGCTGAGAATAAACCATAGCTCGTGAGTGATGAATGATATTCAGTGAGATAAAGAATGCCAATTAGGGACCAAAACGAAGAGTAGAAGATAATTCATCACCTGCAAAATTTCCAAGTGACATCAATTTATCAAAATTCCACGCTTTCATTCCAGTAAACGAGGAATTTTCGAGTTTGAAGCAGGTGTATTCTTAGTCAATAAACTACCTATTACCATGGGGAATCATTAACTATCTATGAGACAAACAATTTTGCTCTGAATGCTGACCTTGTTGAGATAATTTCAAAGG